TATGTTAATATAAGTTCATAATAGTTTATTATTTTAATCGCGACATCTGATTTAAAAACGATGATTTAACTTTAGTTTTAAAAAAAAATTGCATAATTTTTAGTTGGATGGCATAATAAATTATTTAAGCCTAATTAAATAAAAAAAACTATTGTTGATAGTAAAATAGATGAAAGATAATAAAGATTTCCAGCACTACTATTTATCGATCTATGATAATATATTTTACCGTATTAATAATACCAATGCTCAGCAGATTTACCTAACTATTTGGAGAAATATTAAGTAGGTACTAGCTTAGTTACGTACTAAATTATACAAAAACCAAAAATACATAAAGTACTGTAGTACCTACTTACCGAGCAACTTTAGCAATATTCCGTTTCCACTCATCTGGGTTTCCAACTTTCTTTCGTGCATGCAAAGGACTTTGCACAACCTCAGGATTCATTTCAATTAAATTTAAATCAATATAAATTATTGATAACTTGAAAACTATTACCTATTTTAAAAGTAACCTCACGTTTTTTAAATAATAATTATTGTAGTGTCTCATATAGTCATATGGCGTATAAAAATAATAATATCACTAATAGTAAAACTCTTTCACTTCTAAAAATAAAATAAATGGAGATTGCTGTTTTTGTCACGGTATTATTATCAGAACGGAGATTGATGTTTCTGCCGCGGTATTATGATTGGAGATTGCTCTCTTTGCTGCGATCAGCTGGTATTAAAATGTTTTATCTCGATGGGAGATTATATGTGATGAAAATCAGCGTTACCAATCGACGCAGAGTAAAAAATTGTATATGAATATTATCAAAACATTTATTTCAAAAAAAGTGGAGATTGCTGACTTTGCCACGTAACGCCTCATATGAGACCATCATTTTCAAAACGTGGTTCAAAACGTGCTGCAGAAAAAACAAGTGCGAAAAAACCTATGAAAAAAAAGCAGAATAAAATGGTAATATAAATAATATTTTTATAATGATAGCATAAATAATTAAATTTTTTTATAGAGTGCGTCATACAGAGATAATGTTACCGAACGTTTGAGATCAGAAGAATTTGATGCCGAGGTATTTAATTCACTGACATTTAGACAAAGGGATGGATTAGTTACAAATATGTTATAACATAAAATTATAAACTATGGCTGGTTGGAAAAATTTAAAATACTAACAAATTTAATCTACTTTTAAAACATAATATTAAAACTAAAACTTATTAAAACTATTATTTTTGATTTAAGGTGGCATGTAATTAAAAAAAGCAAGTTTATTATTGAAAAAAAAGTTTTATTAAAAAAAAACAATAATTAAACATATTTATATTTTTTTTATAATATTAGATCTTGCAAAATCATATCGGACAATGTGTTAAAATGGAATTGTAATATTTCATATAGAAATGATGTGTCATCGTTCTGTAGGTGATTATAATAATTAAAATCATAGTTTTGAATATATTGGTTGGTAAATTCGTTCCTCTGACAGGTGGACGGTAGACCACGGACATCATTTTTAATTAGGTCATATGCAGTGTTAAAAGTAATTTGATAATTTGCTAAACGTTTTTGCTTGTCTACTACGTACAAATCTATCAAATTCTGTAATTGACGAAGTCGGTACAAATCTACATGTAACAAGGTAATGTATTCCTCATTTAGATGTAGGGTAATTAAACTCTGTTTAACATTGGTTGAATATGAAAAGGAATCGGTGATTTTTACACGCCTCACCTTAGTATTTAAATTATTAATAATCGAATTGTAATTAGGTTCAGACATCAGTGTAAACCATTCTTCTAAACTTAATGTGATAATTTTCTTTGTAAGTTTACATTCCAATAATAAAATAATTGAAATCTGCTTGTTAATTAGTAATCCAACTGTAATACTTTTCTTGTTAAAAGCCCGGATGTCGAATGTAGACTTACAGACAATTATTGGTGAACTCATAGTGAAGTTATTTTTGTCAAATTTAAAAAAAAAATCTTTTTTTTATAAATAAGAAGTGGGATATAACTGTTAGGAGTTATACATTGAACTGTTAGTTTGTTCCCTTTGCAGTCATATTATATACTAAAAAACTCTTTGGAAAAATGCAAAAAATGTGAACATATAGATAGCCAATGAGTGCGTACAAGAGAGGGAATTTACATATACTTACTAACCTGTTACCTGAAAAACATTTTAAATTATCTTATACGCACTAATTCGCTAGGACTGTATGTCCACGAGATATTAAATCGAATATTAACACATTTAAGATAAAAAATTCAATTTTGTTTTATTTTTTTTTATCCAATACAGCAAATATTATAAGCAGCATAAATAAATATATGTATATATAAACATTTAAAAAAAAAAACATGATTTAACAAATGGTATCGTACGAACCGGTTTCACAATTACAAATAACTTCGGTTTTACAATATTTACTTAAGACTTTTTGAACAAACTGATTTCCTTTCATTAACAATACAAATAAACATCTAGGTGAGAATCGAGTATGTTCTATAAAACAATTATCACCGATTTCAAAACTATGTAGAATTATTCCACACCAATGACATTGAACTGCATCGTCGAGATTAATATAGTAAAATCCACATTCCGAGAGTTTGTACTTATTCTGTCCGGTATTTGAAGGGAAACTTCTAAAAGTTCGTAACCTCGATACAAATGTAGAGAATTCTGGATACGCTGGCGTTTAATTGAATCGTATTTTATCGACCAATGACTGGATATCGTTTGTGCATTTTTGAAAATTCATTTTTGAAGAAATTAAATAACTTATACAATTTAATAAAACTTTGAGAAAATAAAGAAAAATGAGACACAAATTGAGTGAACGATAGATCATTAGTAACTGAATATAATAAAAAAAAATAATCAACTTTAAAAATTATTGTAAATTTGTTTATCAAATTTTAGATAAGAAAAACAGTGTACCTAACCAACACGAGTAAAAAAGAAAAAAATATTAAATATTTTGTTGCGTGATACTAAATTTGGTAGTCAATCAGTGTGAAATTGTGTTACACGGTAAATCTGAGTACTCCAAGGGGACATTCCCCGCTTGAACTTTTTTTTTCCCTGGAAAAGCTGGCTGTAAACCTACAAATATATACTACTTAAATACTATATTTCCCGATCCTATTTTTGGTATAAAATTTACGTAATATTTTGATCTTATGTCCTGTGTAGGACTTAGTATTATATTATTTCCTTACGCCCTACAGTCCGAATTTATCGTAATTAAACCTTGGTTTTCTATTCTCTGAATATACGGTTCGGCGATATTACGACACGTGATTGTCAACGTTTCGCCTTTTGTCGTATATATTCATGTATTTGCATATTTTAACTTAAAAAAAATATCTTTTGTTAGTACCAGTACGCCTGCTTCGCAAGTTTTTGGTAATACGTCCGGGTTTTTAAATAACGATATCTCGCATGGATTCCTACTAATAGAGTGCACTACGGGTGAAAACTCAGGAAATATTGTGAATATTTCTGTCTCTTTACAACTCAAAAGTTGCGTTTCCGTAAAAGTTGTGTACTCCTCCCGATTTTTCGTAATTCCTACATATTGGAATTCTGATTTAAGAATAATACTATGATTTCTATTCATTACCCCGTTTATACGTGTTTCCACCGGCTGTGGTATCGGAAGTATTCTATATAACGTAAGCTCAAATTCTGTTACCAGCGGTATCTTTATTAAGAAAACTATCTGGTTGTCTTTATAAAATACGGACATTTTCGTAATCTTACTTAATTCGTATATCTCGTTCGGGTCAGTACCTATAGGTAAATTTAAGTTAATTGGAAATTTCAATTTAATTTGCGTCAAATGATCTGCCAGTTCACGCGGAGTCATTAGACTCGGGTGTAATACTCCTGACCTAGCTGCTGTTATTATCGCGCCCAGAAACATAGTGTCAAAAGAAAATTGTGATAATAATGACGTAAATATACCTTGTATTTTGTTCGACAAAACCAATGTTTCTAGAGTATTTGTTTTATTTATTAATTCGATCGTCCCCTGTTTATTTACCAATTTCGTATATAACCTAGTGACTTCCCCAGACGTTGTACTTATACCTTTAATTGCAGATTTTACTACAGTTGTTTGGTCCTTAAGTATATGTAGCATACGTTCATTAGTTTTTTCTATTTTTCCTATCTCTTCCACCGATTCCTTTGCGCACTCTTCGTCGCAAACCCCGAATAGCGTTTTCATTGCGGACCCTACAAAATTTATGAGCCCACGCCTTTTCCTACTATGATATGTGGTCGTTTCGCCAGAGTGTTCTGCGTATCTACCTATTGATTCATACATTTTTTCACGTTGTAATGAAATTTCTTGAAACATTATTTTAAACATATCGTCTAACCCCGAGTACATTTCATATGCTGTCGCATTATTTTTACATATATTTGTCATTATATTTATTTCCGTTTTTAATTTATCGTGTCTACTGTCGTAATTTAACAACGGTAAATACGAGATTAACTGCCATGTAGCTCCTGTTAACCTTACCGTCCCGTAATTTTCGTAATACATCATTGTTTGGTTTCTAAATTCTTCCACTTTATACGGAAGTTAACTTTGACCTGCCGTTATTAAAAAGAACCTAAAATAATATATACATATATATTAGTTATGAATTTCACTTATATTTTTTTTTATACTTGTCTCTCGAATTTGGTCACTATGAATTAGGAACGCACTAATTGTTTAATAGTCATATCGACAGTGATGCCCGGTGGTCGCATGTTCTTATAGAATATTGTCGCGACACCCACCGTGTTTCACCATCAACCCCCCAAAAAATCAACTAATGCATTCCATCATTCATTTTTCCATATTTACTCACTGTCACTAAATCCTTCTAACTCGTCCATATGACTAAACAAATTATTCGAATCTATATCAAGTTCCTCTAAACTATTATAATAACTATTTACTATATCTAATTCTTCCCTAACACTCAAAAATACTATTAACCCAGTCACCATTAATGCTACTTCCATCTAGGTTATTATTACTAGTATCATTATTTTCATTGCTATTTATTCCAGTGTTGCTTAGAGCTGCTACCCTGTTCGTCTGTATTGCCCTAAAATTCGACCATGCTTCTATATTTATTTCATTATTCAAATCATAAAATTCATCTATAACCCTATCTGCCAGTGATATATCGTATTCCAGTTGAACCACCTCTTCTTCCCCCGTAATGGCCGGTGGTTCTGTTCTATTAAATACAATACTTGCCACTCCTATTTCCTTGGATTGGACTCGTGCCAGCAGAGGGCTGTCCACGTCTAAATGGTACTTAAAAGGTATACTTGACACTTCCCGTGCGTCTTTATTATTGAATTCATCCAGCAACCACTTACATAGTATTACCATTTCTTTTTCCGGAAATTTATCAGCA